CGTCCATTCGAGAGTTTGTTAAACAAAGTGAACCATTAGCGATCTCGACTCATTAAGACACGTGTTTGCTCGATAAAAGTTCAAGTGTCGTGGCCTCAAACTCGGACCATCATGATTTGTTTTTTTCATCTTGATTCGTTTACCCTTATAGTCTTGCCCAAACAGATGTGTTGGGAATATCACTTGTGAGTTGTTCCACATTGATTTGACAGGGTAAATGAGCCTAGTTTATAAGTCTAGTGGGCTACTCCTCACATCACCAATTGGTTTTGGGATGGAAACTCATTTGGGCTTCTTTTGGGCTAACCCTCTTATGGTGCGCTTCACCTGTGTGGGACCGCACTCGTATTGCCCCCGTTTGACATGGTATCAGAGCGGGCCTAATTTGGGACATGCTATAAAAAAAAAATAAATAAAAAAAAACTACCCAGCCTGGTTGTAGGCGTGGGCTAAAATTATACCCGGCCTAGTTGGAGGCGTGGGCTATGAAGGGCTCGCAAGTGAGGGGGCGTGTTGGGAATATCACTTTTGAGTTGTCCCACATTAATTTGATAAGGTAAATGAGCCTAGTTTATAAGTCTAGTGGGCTACTCCTCCCATCACCAATTGGTTTTGGGATGGAACTTCACTTGAGCTTCATTTAGGCTAACCCTTTTATGGTGCGCTTCACCTGTGTGGGACCACACTCGTATTGCCCCCGTTTGACAAGATGGTTAGCGTGGTTTTGAAGGTAAATTTTGTTTTTTAATATTGTAAAAATTACACCATTTTAATTTTTAAGATTAACGCGTAAATCTAAGTGATTTTCCACCAAATAGCCTTTGTTATCAACTAGTCGCTCAATAAAACGAGTCGTTGTGAGCTCCACTCGGCTCGTTTAGACGCAATTTTGGCTCTCCTCGTTGAAAGATGAGTCGAGCTCGAGTTCAATGAAAGCCCGCTTAGTTAAAGAGAGGAAGCGGCTCGACTTGACTCAATTTGTTAAGATTTGAAAATATTATTTTTATATATAATTTTATACTGTTTGATCCATTAAGGATCGAGCTCGACTCGTTAAAATGAGTCGAAGTCGTGCTCGATTATAGCTCGTTTAATTATTGAGTCAAGCTTGGCTGTGTCTTGTCACTACTCTCTCCCAACTTTCTTTGTCAAGGTCTCCAGCAGAGCTCTGTAATCTTTGCATTTTGTCCCACTCTTGGCTTCTTGATTCCTCCATTCTTTATTTTCTTTCCAAAAAGTCGACAAATTTAGCGAATTCCAATCGGCTTGCACTTTGATCCTTTCTTTATTTTTTTTCCAATTTTGGGGGAAGAGGTGACAGAGGGAGCCACCAAGTTTCCATCTTTTTTTTGTTTTTTCGTAAAAATTTGCAGAAGAAGCTTGACATGTGTTTGGCGATAAGCGAAACTCCGTACCCAACATGGTGAATCTATCGTTTCCTTGCCACCCCAATACGATTTGAAAAATGTATGCTGGCTTTCGTTTCGTGCGTGCGCGCGTGTGCATTCTGATTGTTGTGTGTGTGTGTGTGTGTGTGTGTGTGTGTGTGAATTTGTTGGTTGAATTTCATCAAAATCATTGCAAGAGGTTGAGATTCTTTTCGATCTATCGGCTGGTATAACGTCGTTTGGATTGTGTGTGTCAAGATCGGTGAATTTTCTTTTCTGGGTTTTGCTTAATTTTGTATAGGGAGATGCTACAGTCCTGTTAGATCATCACCGTCGGGGATAGTTTGATTTAACGGTTACAAATCCCGACGGAATGGTTCCGTAAGGGGACCGTAGCATTTTCCTTTTGTATATGTTTATTTTTCTACTCGTCATTTTTCTGGTCTTGAGGTTGATTGAATGTAATCAGTAGGTTTTCTTGCTGCCCTTCTGTTTTGGATTCTTGATTATTCCCTTTTGGATCCGTTTGGAAAGCGGGATAGTAGATTCACATGTGGAGAAAAATTGAATCTTTGAAAGTGATGCTTTTTTAGCTGTAAAACCTGATTTAGTGATTGGATATTCTTTCCTCTTTGATTCTTTTGTGTTTTGTTCTAAGGGAATTGAATTTGAAACAATCGAACGGATGTTCATTGACGAATTTATGTCGGAGAATGATTGGATATGAGATGGGAAGGTGGGAGTGAATAGTTTGTTCTGAAAACATTTACAAGCAGTTCCATGTTGAGAGAAATAAAAAGGTCACCGGCGGATCGAAAATGATTGTCATTTTTTGTGAAATACAATTATTGATAACTGTATGCCAATTAGAATATGCTACGAAGTTTCACTCGTCAGCTAAACCTTTGAGTTAACATGGCTTGTTAGTCTCTGACTGATGCTTTTTTTAAGGAGATTTTTGTGTGGCAGATAAGAAATTCGTCTCTTTTACGATTTTCTGTCGAATTGAACTTCGAAAGTCATATATAGACGACGAGTGATCTAATTATAGAATCAATCTGGCTCGAAGTTGAGATTTCATCTTATAAATGTAGTAAATCTATCATTCATGCTTTGATTGCTTGTCGAAGATTTAAGCTTAACTTTTTGTTTACCCCACAGTGATGGAGATATTGTTTTCTAGACAAGATAATGGTGCGGTGTTTAGATGGAGTGCAGCATATGCTTTCTGCTTTAGTAAATTGCTGTGACTCTGATATTAACAGGCAACCTTGGGGCCTCGGAAATCCTGAAGCTCTAGCGAGAGAGACCGTTTGTATGTTTTCTGACTGTTTTTCTTGCTCGTTTCATTTTTTTTTTTTTTTCATGTTTCTCTTAAATATAAAGATTGCATTTCACACCTTGGTTATGATGGTTTCACTTAGAACTTAATAGTGAGTTTGTCCGGTTCACATGAAAAAAAAAAGGAAAAAAAAAACCTTTTTATTGGATCATTTGGATTTTGTTGTCATTTGCTGTATTGACATTTTAACATGAACATGAAAAGTAATATATCAAATTAAGCTTAGGACACATTTATAAGTTGCTGATATTTATTTTATGGATATTTGCAATAAAGAAACAAAGGAAGTTCCAAATTCACGACAATTTCCTGATATTTGATTCAACAGTGTTTGAACCAATCATGACATTGACGTATGGTATGAAACATATACAAACAGTCTCTTTCAACAGTGTTTGAACCAATCATTTTTTTTCGAATGATGGGATTTTGTTTGTTTAAGCTGAATAGATTAGAAAATAAATCTTTATTGGGAACCAACTATTTCCATGCAAAATAAAGAGATCTCTTGCTAATTAGCTTATATGCATATTGATGCAGTCAGTGTGAGCGAAATAGAAGCATTGTACGAATTGTTTAAAAAGATCAGCAGTGCTGTGATAGATGACGGGCTGATTAACAAGGTATTATTCATCGAAACTTTCTTTCTTTCTCAAATTTTTATTATTATTATTTTTTTCTCTCGTGAATACTTCTCTTTCAGGAAGAATTCCAGCTTGCATTGTTCAAGACGAACAAAAAGGAGAGCCTTTTTGCTGACAGGGTTAGTTTTTCATGTGTCAGTACGGCAAAAAATTGCTTAAGTATCGTGTTTGAAATTTATTTGGTAGTGTTGTGAAAGTGAAAATTGTGTATTATATGAAGGTATTTGATCTGTTTGACACGAAGCACAACGGAATACTGGACTTTCCAGAGTTTGCTCGTGCCCTCTCAGTCTTTCACCCGAATGCCCCTATTGACGAAAAGATTGATTGTGAGTATCATCTTTGTTACATTTGATATTGATGTCTATTACATTTGATACTGATGCCTAAATCGTTACTGCAGTTTCATTCCAATTATATGATCTCAAGCAGCAAGGATTCATTGAAAGACAAGAGGTCATTTTTTTATTTTTTTTCTTTAGGACACACACACACAATTGTGTATGGAGGCTCATCAAGAATACTTACTATTTTTTTTACTATGGATTTTTATTTTATTATTATTATTATTTTTTTTTTTTTTTTTATTGAGATTTCACGTGTGATGGCTAGTACTCATTAAATTTTTGAGAAATCCAGTTTTAATATGGTATTTTGGTATTTTGCAGGTAAAGCAAATGGTGGTGGCAACATTGGCCGAGTCTGGCATGAACCTTTTGGATGATGTTATAGAGAGTATCATTGATAAGGTAATATCGATTTTTGTGCAGGTTTTAGATCATTTATCTATGGGCTTTCATGACTCGTAAACCTATTATTCACATTCTGGTCCAATTGAGTTGATAATATTTGGCCATATTTGGCCGAGGTTCTTCATTTATCCTTATCTTTCTCTTGAGATCTTCATCCTAAAAAAGATGTTCTTAGAGGTTATTATAACACATTTGATCTTAGAAAGGAGAAAATTGGCTTCTGAGCTCTTAGAGAGATATCGACAGCTTTTTTGTGATCAGAATCTATTAATTCAAGGCAAAATTGCATTTTTAGTCATGTTGGTTTAACGACATAACAATTTCAGTCCCAAGGTTCCAACATTTCGCTTTTTGGTCCTATGATTTGATATTTTGCTGTAATTTCAGCCCTCAAAATTGCAACAAATTTCCAAATTTTCAATTCGCGTAACTTAAAATTTTGTTGCAATATTGCAGCAATATATTAAATCACATGACCAAAAGGCGAAAAGTTGGAATCTTGGGACTTCGCGTTGAACCAGCAAGACTAAAAATGTATTTTGCCTTGAAAAGAAACCACTAAAAGAAGCATTTTTTTTTTTTTCAAGAATAAGTTGGGATATCTTAAGTAATGAATGCAATAAATACACTTCGGACATGTGTCAATACATTAAGTAATGGATGACTTCATAAGAAAACCATCCGATAGCTCCATAGAATTTTCGCTTAACATCTTTCGGGAAANNNTTTTTTTTTTTTTTTTCCCCTAGACGTTTGAGGAAGCTGACACTAAGCACGATGGGAAGATTGATAAAGAAGAGTGGAGGAGTCTCGTTCTTCGCCATCCTTCACTTTTAAAGAATATGACACTTCAATATCTCAAGTATGATTTTATTATGCTTCGATTCGACTTGTGAATGCTAACGACTATTTTTCCTTCAGTTCAAACTATTTTGCACGAAAATTTTTTATGCACTTTAATTATATTTCTTGAGCCACACTAAACATTCAAACTAATTCTGATGTACAGAGACATTACAACCACATTCCCGAGCTTCGTGTTTCATTCTCAAGTCGACGATACGTGAGTTTGGAGGGATTTT